CTCAGTAACGATCATAGCATCTTGTTCAGAGCGTCCCGATCGTTCGTCAGTGCCTCCTTCAGGATCGCCGACTGCGCCTTCTAGTTTCCGCTACGGCCTGGCGCCAGGGGTAGTTGGGGGTTTTGGGGTGTGTAACGGTGTCGTTTGTGTGCGTACCCAGGCGAGAACGGCAAGTAGGAGTTAAGGCGTCAACTCACTACACATCCGTCCTCGACGTCCACACGTCCTCGAAGGTCTCGCCTAGGTCCTGCTCGACTTAGGATCGTCTAGATTTCCTCGTAGTCTTCGGTGTTACTCGGCGGCGTATTCGTCCACATGTCCTCGCAGATCTCGTCCATGTCCTTATCGGCTTCGTGTTCATACTGACGTCGTCGTAACCAACTTTTGGGTCTATGGGCATAGAGCAGGGGCGTCCTCTCCGGCATCTGAGGGCGGCTGATACCTGCACTAATGAGCTCCTGGAGTTTGACCAGATCTTTGGGCGTCCAGGCAGTCGGCGCTCTTCCACAACGTCCTGGGGCGACTGCTACCTACTCCGACGAGTTCCTGGTTCTTTGCTGGCTTTACGGGCGTCCTGTCAGGCGGCGCCCATTTACTATCATCCAGGGCACCTTAATACCATCACTTGTCCTCAAGCCTACGGCGATCTTCTGGCAAGGATTTATTTGAAGATATATAAATGAGAATTGTCACTCATCACGACTGGCAACATCGCAGCCAAAAGAGATAACATGCAACTACGACACAATAAATCCTATGAATAAAAGTTTCAGTATCTGCTGATCTGTGTGGATTAGTGTGAAATAATTGCATGCATTGTTGTAACTCGTAACGGCTGACGAAATCGCGGGGAAAAGAGATACCTCATCACGTTTTATGCCTATAACTACGACATCTACAAAATCTAATTATGAAAAGTTCCAGTGTCTTTTGTTCTGTGTGAATGAGTGTGTGTAAGTGTGAGGCTCTTGATAGTGTGAAAAGAGAGCGAGCTCACACAAAGAATGAATCACAAACACGAATACCACATTGACTTCAACATTAAATGATAAGCGACGGAATGTATGCCATTATGCATAGTGACATGAGAATTCTTTGTAAACTTCCACAATGCACACTTCTCTGTTCAAAAAGTTTTTATACTATCACCAATTGTATTAAATCTTAATTACGGATTGGCTACAAATTCCCGTAGACTGAGATACTTATGCCCTGCTTACGCATGTTCAGAGTACGTTAGACTTCATCGATGGATGGGGTTTCCCCTTTTACCCAAATTACCAAACGAAATGAATTGAAATGAACAAGATGGGGAATTCTGTCGTTACTGTCACAATCTGTGATGGGCGCTCACGACTATCTAGCTCACGACAATGATGCCGGTAAGGTGAGAAGGGTGTGATTATTAAGCGACTTGTTATTCTAGCTGAAGTCCTACATTTACAATCATTCATCAACATGGGCTCACACCGACTTTAGTTGCCAGGCAAATGAATTACTTTTACCTAATCTTGGACTACAAAGTGCAGATTTTATTAAACGATTATGGAACCCCGTACACCCTTGTACGCTATGGATGGGGAAGAGTCTAATGCTATATTCCTATAATTAATTTATACATGTTTCCCGTCAAAGTTTTGTTTTCTTGTTCTCTCGCGCCGAGAGAACGTGTCACTATTTAGCAACGTTAGTCTAAATAACACTATGGGCAATTTCTTTAAGTCCTACAATGAAAGGGAAAGTGAGGTAGGTCGGGGGGTGGGGAGGGGCAAACTGTTACTAGAGAGTAATAAGTGATATATAACGTTCGTGAATACGAATAAAGAAATTAGTGAAAAAATAAAATGAACCAAAAGAGTCCAAAAAATGAGTGATTTTCAACAATCAATTAACGGAATGGAGAAGAAGAGAATGAAGTACGTAGAATTCATGAATAATCTAATCGGATGTTCTCACATCTGTTAGAAGGATACCTTCAAATAAAGATGAGTGACAGAGAGTGTTGCTATTTCCTGGTAAAGTAAAGATTTAAAATTTTCACTATTAGTGCTTTTAACCAGCAAAACCAACCTAAGAATGATCGCACATTTTGCACAGCTTAACACATAAATGGAAGAACTAGATAGGAAAGAGAAAAGAATGGCCCATAACGTGTGCTTACTTGGTTTGGAAGACATCTTCATATCGATGGTGATGGTGAGTGGATTTCGACGGCGAGTTCGCGTTTCAAATCCAAAAGGTTGTAACCAGCATCCTGCCACCAGATATAAAAGGTGGTTATATCTTCAACACTGACACTGTGATATATGTGATACGGCTGACTCTTTATTGGTAACAGTTTACACACAAGTAGAAATAAACACGATACGAGACTGGTCAGTGCTGGGTGGATCCGCGGCCAGCGGATAGGCCGGATCGCTCTTAGAGAGAGGGTGAGGCTGATGACCTCTTATACAGCCGGTCGCAACCCAGTC